AAACCCCCCCCCCCCCCTGCAAGAATTTACGGCTAGGGTATTAATTAGTATCGGGTAAGTTTGTGTTTAATCGATCTGCAAACTCTTACTGGCGACTTCTTCAACTATCCCAGTCAGTAACAAAAGTTTTTTTCTAATGAAAAATCATTTTGAATCAAGTAGTTGATGATCTTGCCATATGGATTTTGGCAAAATAAGGGTCTTGCATGCTAACTTACAGTTGACAAGGGGCTGACTAGACGGCAATCTTGATAACATGTCCATTATCAAACCATGGGGCAGCTCAGCCACTAAACATTTTGATTCCGCTGTGTTACTACTTTCTGGGTTTCAGCTCATGAAGACTGTTTTCCTTTGGCTTCTCATTGATGGACGGGGAAGGGAAATGGAGGGAATGAAGGGTTTTTTGTTAGGGTTCAAATCCTTTTCTTTTACAAGTCAACTAGCTCATGTCAAACTAGGTCAACTAGATTTAACTCCAGTTCAACTTCAATCTGGATCAAAGCAGATTTTCTAGCAACCTCACCAGTCAAGTCAGATCGGATTTAACAAGAGTGATTTAACAAGTGTGATCATGACTAGTGTTGGAACACCTTGATTTAACCACAGGGGTGGTCATGTTCTATGAGATGTCGGAGGTTGATTGGACGACAGTTGAGAGCTACACAGTCATGAAATCGTTTGCTGCGTTTAGCCAAGGCCATTCCACCACTAAATGCTATTCATGATAATGAAGAAACTCAGGCAAGCCAGAATAGGGTATGCATATTACAGTGCAACAGTGATCAAAATCTAGTACAAACATAATTAGAGTTTGGCTTTATAAACCTTCTGAATGCAGCAGTAGCACTGACCTATTAACTAAGTCCTTGCATAGATGCACCATGGAATTTCGAACAAACTAATCTGATCTTTCTATTTTTCTTCTAGATATAACAAACTGAAACTTGTGAATATACAAGATAACTAACATCTAGATGCAGTATGTTGGCACATTGGCAGGGCTATAGACAAAAGGTTTGACTCTGTGAGAAAATCCAGATGGACGATTATAACTGAACTTCACCCCTGTGCTAGTTTCTCCTAGTTGGGTGCAGTGCTCATGGAAACTGCTGATAGGTCGCGCGAGGCATGCATCCCAACGGTCACTCTCTGACATGGTCTCTGCCACAGTGTAAATCCCCTTATCATTTGTGAAGGCCTGGTAGTTTAGAACTTCCCCGGACTTCGTTATGCAAAGGACAGCTACTTCAGCGCCTGCATCAAGGCAAGCCAAATCACCCCATTTTACATCTTATTCAATTTAATTAAATACAATCAATAATATTAACCATCACTGCTTCACAAATTTGATGTTTTGTCAAAGATGGCAGTCAAAATAGTCATCTGCTGTAGCCCTTGGCAACATCAAATGAAGTGAAGTCACCCTGGGATTCCAGGAACCTTAAATTGCTTTTTGAGTGTTTGACGGTACCCAAGGTACAGCCCACCTTAAGAATGAAGTTTCCAGGAAATTCAAAGGGTATGAATATGCCCTGGTTTAAAAGCATGTTTCAAGGTACACATAATAGACAAGAGAATTTAAATTAATATCCCTACACAACAACAGTGATGATAATAAAAGTTGACAGTGAAAGAATGCCATCCACCTGCAGTGCATACCAAAAAGATATTGGGGTGTTACTTAATGCCCCTACATGGCAGAAGCAAATTTTCCACAAAATCAAAGAGAAAACAGTTCATCGATTAGCATTTTACAGTCCAAGAATAAAATGAAGCAACTTGGTATCGTTACATCAACAAAACAAAGACAAACCAGCAACTGCAGAGGGGTGAAAGGGAACAATGTTTAGAAAACTCCATAATTTAGGTGTCAATATTAAGAAATGCACAGGTTACCCACAAACCCCTAATAGCTATTTGCCAACAGATTAATCAATTGCAGATATCATAATCACATAGAAACTACAAAGAACATAACCTCCCAAAACACAGTCTTAGAGTGTAGATAACACTACCTTACGTTGCAAAAACATCTGGCCAAACCATCACCACACTAATGATGTAGCTAATGCACAAAGAGAGAGCAAAGTGACTCGAGATCACAGCAATACAACAATATATTTCTAACCAAAACGAAAAAAAAAAAAACACATATTTTCATCATTCCCCAGTAACAATCTGTATCAACTTTGTCCTACTACACTCACAAACAGAACCGACTACATCCAATTACACACTAATAAACAAGCTATATGGATCTGAAACAGAAAAGAAAGAACAAAATGGATACATCTCCACCAACCCCGACTGCTTTGAAATTGAGATTTAGTTAACTGGTGGACGTGAACTCGCAATAAATAAATAACCATCAAATGATAAAAAAAAGGAACAATTTTTAGCACAAAACCATCACTATAATCACCAATCCATTAAGTCATCACTCATCCCCTCAAAACCCATAAGAATTGAACTTTCACACATCAAGAAACAAAAAAAAAAAGCCCATTTCAAAAATTAAACTAAAACCAAGTTAGAGAGTGAGGGAGGGACCTTCTAAAACATGATCTTCAGGTCCGATGGAAGAATCACCACAAACATCACAAACAACTCTTCCGTGTATTTCACCTGTCCAAGCTTTGACACCAGAGACAAAGATTGCCGTCAGTAGAAAAAGACCCGCTACCAGCTTTCTCAGTTGTGAATCCATGGCTTGTTTTCTGAAATTCCCAAATGTCCAAAGACCAGAAATTTTTACATGGATAGTTATTTTTAATACAAGTGGGGCAGTGAATGGCTTTCTTGGGTTGCTTAGTCAAAGCTCCTTCCTCCACTTTTGTCTGTCGGTCACTGGATTTAAATATTTTCATCATATATTATTTTCTTTATTTCAATTGTTTTATAATTTAAATAAAATACTAGCAGTAAAACTTAATAATTGGAATTAATTATGAGATTAATTTATACACCACAAAGAGTTGGTTTGTGAAATCTCCATGCCTTGCACAACTGGATAGATCATGGTTGTTAGAATTCTATGTTAAAATGTAACGTTTTACACTTCAGGGACTAAAACGT